CGGCGACGTCATGGCCTCGGCTGTGGAGGCCTGGGGCGCTGGCGGCCTCGGGGGGAAGGACGGAGTCCGTGTGTCCCTAGGGCAGTGCCCATGTGTCCTTAGGACGGAGTCCGTGTGTCCCTACATGCCGACACCGTCACCACAGGAAAGGACAGTGTCCGTGTGTCCCTCAGAGTTGCGCTCCCTCACCAGAGAAAAGGACAGAGTCCATGTGTCCCTAGGACGGAGTCCGTGTGTCCCTATGTGCCAATTCCTTCACCACAAGAAAGGACAGTGTCCGTAGGACGGAGTCCGTGCATCCCTAGGACAGTGTCCGTCTGTGTATAGAATGGTGTCCATGCGTGACCATTTTGCAGTTCACATGTTTAAACATGTTCCCCCTCACCAGAGGGAAGAGCAGTGTCCGTGTGTCCCTAGGACGGAGTCCGTGTGTCCCTACGTGCTGACTCCGTCACCACAGGAAAGGACAGTGTCCGTGTGTCCCTAGGACAGTGTCCGTGTGTCCCTAGGACAGAATCAGTGTGTCCCTAGGACAGAGTCCATGTGTCCCCAGGACAGTGCCCATCTGTGCATAGGATGGTGTCCATATGTGACCATTTTGCAGTTCACACATTTAAACGTTTTGCAGTTCCTCACCAGAGGAAAGGACAGTGTCCGTGTGTCCCTAGGACAGTGTCCATGTGTCCCTAGGACAGTGTCTCTGTCCCCCCTGCACTTCCCTGCCAGGTAACTTTACTGATGAAGAAGGGAGGGATCCCAAAGCAGCCTTGGAACCTGCACATGACGCATCCCTGCGAAGGAATCTGTGTTTATCTCCTTACTTTGGCTTGGCTTTTTCTGAAGCAGGCTGCAGTTTCACATGAGTTTTCTGTGCTCTCCTGTGCCCAGGAACCCGCGGCTTTGGGGAACTTCAGTGCCAAACCGTAGCCTGTTTGCAAAAATGCAAGGTGGCTTTTAGCAAAAGAAACGTTGTGGCCAGGGTCTGACCACAGGTCTTGCTCAAAAAGCCGCACGGGGCCGGGTTTATACGCACAGGAAAACCGGCCTCAAATGCTGCTGCCAGACATTGCCCTTCACGGCTCCAGCAAGGAAAAGGGCCCGGTGACGGCGGGATCCAGCTCCGGCGGGATCGCGATCCTGCCGTGCAGGAAACGCCTGCTCTGAGTTCACCTATGGAAAAACTTCATACAGGAAAATAAATAAATAAATAAATAAATAAATATACACACATATCAAAGAATGTGCCGTATGCGTTGAGATAATTGGGAGAAAGGTGCAAAAAGATTCAGGATACCCTAAGGGTGTAACAGTGATCCCGTTGGATAAAAGCAGGATAAGGGCCTGCTCCGCCAAGTCAATTAGTGTTGCTGCCTCTGGACTAGTTTGACTGAAACAGCCACCCTGTGTCCTGCCAGCTCCTGGATGCAGATGGATGGGATGCAGCGTGTTGGGATACGGGTTTTTCCAGGAATGGTGGCAGTATTTGGCACTGTAATACCATGGCTTTCCCTGCACAGACTCAGCACGCAGCAGGGATGGCCAGGGTTGAGCAACAGTGGGGTGAAGAGTCCTGTCTTTTTGCAAAAATCAGCCTGTTTTTTCCAGCAAATTGGATTTTGCCAAACGGTCCCAAGCTCCGGCCAATCCGGCAGATGCTCCGTTTGTGGCGAGCGCCGTTGCAGATTACCCCGGGGCTGGTGATCCACCCAGTTCCGCAAGGGAGGAGAAAAAGCAGGGAAAGGAGCCCAAACTTGCTGTCTGCTGTGGAGGAGCTCAAAGTCCACGTGTGCTGTGAGCGGAAAATTCCGCTGGTGTGGAAATCTGCACAGCAGCCCCCTGCGTTCGTAAGGCAAAAATGTTGAACCCTTTGTGCTTGCCCAAGCACAGAGAGCCCTGGGATCCCATCCGGAGTGACTCAGGGAAGAGCCGGTGGCGCGGAACGGAGCTCCTCCCTCCTCAAGCCCTTTGCAGGGCGCTGATTGCAAAAGCATTCCGTCGTTTTTAAAGAGAAACCTGGCATTTAGGAGAAAAAACACTCCTTTATCCTGAGGGAGATGGTCAAAGTCACCGAACAGTTTCAAATCCCTTTCAAAAAACAAAAAACAAAAAAAAAAAAAAAAGAGAGAGGGCAAAAATCTGGAGGAAGAAGTTAATGCAAGAAGCACGTGCAGCTCTGCAGCCCATCACTGTGCAGAGGTACTGCAGGTTGCAGCGGTGCTTTGGGAGGGGATATCACATTTTTCCTCCACGCTGCCTCTTTTAAAGGAACACCTGAAAGTCCATTTTTAAAGGGTGGAAATGCCTGGAGAGTGTGAGCCTTGAGCGCAGCACTTGCTCGCGTGGGGTTAACCGCTGACCATGGGGCTTCCCTCGAGACACTCATCCAGAGGGGTCCAATCCAACCCAATCCAACGGGGTCTGGAGCCTCCGGACAGGAGGAACTGGCTCTGGAGGGGCCTCCCCGGCTCTTGGGCTCGTTTTAATTCACACTCGCAGCAGAGTGGAGGAAAGTTGGTATCCCCAAAGAGCAGCAATTCACCCGTCTGCTCCAAGCGCTCCGTGTCCGCCCACTGCTCCTCTGGCTCTGCAATCCACCCGGCTTCCCGGCAGGCGCCGGTTCCTCCGGAGCGGCAGGGACGGGACGATAGGGCAGGGGAGCGGAACGGCAAGGCAGCAGCCTGCCCGGCCGCGATAACGGCGCAGCCCTCCCGCCGCGGCCGCGCCAGCCTTAAATGGAAGCGCTCCCTGCGCCCGCTCCTCGGCGTGCGGGGAAATTCCTGCACGGAATGGGATGACGTTGGCGGCACCGCGAGCCCCACCCGGGCTGCAGCACCGGCGGGGTGGAAGGACGTTTCCCCGGCCTCTTTTGCTGCTATCTTTTGCACCTGTGTCATTTGGCGCAGTGAAAAAATGCACTTTTAGTGTAATTTTGTACAGCGGGAGGGACGGAGCCGAGCCCTTGTCAGGTGGGTGCTCGGGGTGATGCAGCCAGGTGCAGAGTGTGGGACAAGGCGGGAAGCTGCAGCTCTGCAGCAGGTTGGTGGCCACTGATAGGACTAGAGGAAATGGCCGGAAAATGAAACACCAAAAATTCCATAGAAACTTAAGGAAAAATTTCTTACCAGTGAGGGTGCCAGAGCACTGGAACAGGCTGCCCAGAGAGGTTGTGGAGTCTCCTTCTCTGGAGATCTTCAAACCCGCTTGGACGCAGCCCTGTGCCACGTGCTCTAGGTGACCCTGCGTGTGCAGGGGTTGGACTAGATGATCTCTAGAGGTCCCTTCCAACTCTAAGCATTCTATGATTCTATGATAGGTTCTCGCTGCTGCGTCACCTCCGCCTGTTCAGCGCAGCCTCCCGTCCCTTCGGGCACCACGTCGCAAAGGGCATCGGGTTGGTGTTTTGGGCAGCGGGATGCGCCCGGAGCGCTCCCAAGCACAGCGGGGCTGTTCCACATCGCTGATCCTGCCCCGAGCGCAAACCTGGTTGTTCTCCAAGGCCCCGAAGCCTTGGCCTGGAACAAGGAGCACACGGTTCTGGGAGGACACGAAGCGCTGCGGATATTTCCCACATATCCATGTCCCGAGCACAGACGCCGTTCCCCACATATCCGTGCCTGGCCCTGGACCGGACACTGCCCGGGGAAATGTGTCCCGCTCTCACCCAGGGGACCTGCCCGCCCTGCAGCCCAGAGGGGCTTGAACGGGGCCATGTCACAGCACGTGGCACCTTGCGCTGCGGGAGCCTCGCGGGGACCCTTCTTGTGGCCAGTGGGACGGGGTGTTTGTGTAACACCGTCTTTCCTGGAAAACGCGTGTTCTTGCTCCCTTGGGGCCTAGATGCCCCACGATAGGGAAAAAGAGAAAAGAATAAAGCTGGGAAGCGAGAGGAGCCCCCGAGGAGCTCCCGGAGGGGCATTCACGGCGCCCGTCCGGTCCCGTCCCGTCGGGGGCTCGAGCGCGGCCGTGGTGGCGGGACACCGGAAAACCCCGGTGGGTGGACAGAGAAACCGGAAAAAATAAAATAAAATGAAAAAAAGAACCAAAAAAAAAACGGAACAGAAAACGAGAAAACGGGAGAGCTTCCTCGCTCGCCGGGAGAGGGGCGGGGGCATCGGCATCGCCGGCCTACGTCGCCTCCCTCCTCCTCCTTTATATAGCGTGAGCGGGAGGCCGG